GACATGAAGGAGCAGACACTGGCATGTTGGGAGGCGGCGATGTGTGGCACAGTGCTTCTGGATCTCCATTGCTATTTTCCAAAGTGGGGCAAGTCCCCAAGAAGACAAGCAGAGGGACTGAGGTGGGGAGAGGAGTGAGGATAAGGGGAAACACACCACTGTGAAGGTTGAAAAGGCAGAAAAGGAGGCATACTGCAGAAATGAGGGGGTGGAAATTGCGCCAAGACTAACTTAACTACCACTTGGAATTTTGCATCAATAGATATTTCCCACTAAGAAATACACGGCTTAACTGCTCAAACGTCAAGCAGTCAGAACCCTATCAGGGTCAGCCGGGCGTGGTGGCTCACGCCTATAATCCCAGCACTTTGGGAGGCCAAGGCGGGCAGATCACCTGAGGTCAGGAGTTTGAGACCAGTCTGGTCAACATGGTAAAACCCCATTTCTACTAAAAATACAAAAATTAGCTGGGCGTGGTGGCTCACGCCTATAATCCCAGCTATTTGGGAGGCTGAGCTGGGAGAATCGCTTGAACCTGGGAGGCAGAGGTTGTAGTGAGCCAAGATGGCAGCATTGCACTCCAGGCTAGGTGACAGAGAGAGACTCCGTCTCAAAAAAAAAAAAAAAAAAAAAAAAAGGGAACCTATTAGGGTTGGAGGGGAGGTGAGAGACCTGAGGGACAGAAAAACAAGGCTGGGCGCAGTGGCTTCACGCCTGTATCCAGAACTTTGGGAGACCGAAGTGGGTGGTCATGAGGTCTGAAGTTCAAGCCAGCTGCGCAACAGATGTATGACCCCATCTCTACTTAAAAAACACAAAAATTAGTCAGGCACAGTGGTGGGCACCTGTAATCCCAGCTGCTGGGAAAGCTGAGGCAGGAGAACTGCTTAAACCCGGGAGGCGGAGGTTGCAGTGAGCCAAGATCATGCCACTGTACTGTAGACTGCAGTCATGCATGACAGAGCAAGACTCTGCAAGAAGGAAGGAAGAGAAGGAAGGAAGGAAGGAAGGAAGGAAGGAAGGAAGGAAGGAGGAGGGAGGGAGGGAAAGACATCATCTACCTCTACCTTATCTAGCCATCTGTTGAATGCTTTTCCTCCTCAGGTGGTCTGAGACTATCCTAGGGCTTAAAACCTGTGAGAATAAATTGAAAGCTAAAAATAGTCATCTATTTCACAGAGGAACTAGTTAGATTAATTAGATTCTCCTTGTGTCATTTCTTGTCTAGGTATATTTGATTGTCTTTTGTTTTTTCAAAGTCACATTTAATTGAGTAGGTAGCAGTATGGGACGGGAAAGCCACCACAAACTCCTTATAGTTTCTCTAGTCTTTTGCAATGTCCTTTTACTACAGGTTATCACAAGTCATGATAATAATCGCAGTCCTAATTTCCCGGAGAGAATGTGCTCTAAGTCTTCCAAGAAACTAGAAAATGGCTAAGGATTTTAATATTTTTCTTCTTTCCTCTTGGTGTCCTATCTTGTTCTCAAAGCAAATTTTTATAAACTTGTTTTGGTTACACTTTAATCTTCACAAAAGCAGGGACTTTGTAGTTTTGTTCACTTTTTTTCATTCTGTCGTCCAGACTGGAGTGCAGTGGTGCGATCTCGGCTCACTGCAACCTCTGCCTCCCGGGTTCTAACAATTCTCCTGCCTCAGCCTCCTGAGTAGCTGGGACTACAGTTGCACAGTGCCATGCCGGCTAATTTTTTGTATTTTAGTAGAGATGGGGTTTAACTGTGTTGTCCGGGCTGGTCTCAAACTCCTGAGCTCAGGCAATCCACCTGCCTCAGCCTCCCAAAGTGCTAAGATTACAGGCATGAGCCACCACGCCTGGCCTTGTTCACTTTTTATTCCAAGGCTTAGGGTATAGTAGGCATTCAATAATTATATGTTGAGTAAGTGAATGAATGAATGAATGCATAAATTGTATAAGTGAATAGCATTTGGTACCAGTATATAAAAAAGGTCAAAGTAACTTACATTTTGGGGCTAGGGTATAGGTTTTGGTGTGAAACCACAACTTTAAGCAGCATGCCAAGGGCACGCCAAAAGATTGTTGTAGGCCAGGCATGGTGGCTTCCGGCACTTTGGGAGGCCCTGAGGCGGGCGGATCACTTGAGGTCAGGAGTTCAAGACCAGCCTGGCCAACATGGTTAAACCCCGTCTCTCCTAAAAATACAACAATCAGCTGGGCGTCGTGGCTGGCACTTGTAGTCCCAGCTACTCAGGAGGCTGAGGTGGGAGAATGGCTTGAACTGGAAGGTGAAGGTTGCAGTGAGCTGAGATCGTGCCACTGCACTCCAACCTAGGTGACAGAGTAAGACTTTCTCTCAAACAAAACAAAAACAAAAGATTGTTGTAGGGGAAAATGTGTGATATCTTTCCTTCCCATAAGGGTCATAGCCAACACACCTATAACAAAAGACAGGTTAACAATAGAAAAGCATAACACATTTGTTTAATCAAAGTTTTAGGTGACATGGGAACCTTCAGAAATGAAGACGGAAAGACCCAGGGAAATCTATTTTTTAAAACAGAGATGGGGTCTCTCTGGTTTAATAGAGATGGGGTTCTCCTGGCTCCGCCTACCAAAATGCTGGGGTTGCAGGCATGAGCCACTGTGCCCAGCCTGTTTATTTTCTCGAGACAGAGTCTCGCTCTGTCCATTTTTGTGCTTAGGTTCAATGAAGAGTGGGCAGCCATGTAGATGTGGTTGGACAGAAGGGTAAGATCCAATGGTTCTCGACTGAGAACAGAGACCCAGCCTGTCTTTTCAGACTCTTCTTGGCCTCTCCATGTAACTTTCCCTCCTGCTGGGTTTAGAGCAGGACTCCTTTGGAAAGGAGACCTACTATCAGACAAGGTAGGGTAGATAATTTCTTTATTTCTCTATTCTTTATGCCTGTTCTTACACAGAAAAGTGAGGAATGGTAATATTTCTAGGTTTTGTAGCTTGCTTTGGGGAGAGGGATTTTAGTTTCTATGACTGGCCTTCAGTTTCCATGACTCACTTTGGGGGAGAGAGGTGGGAGACAGGAGGGCAGGAGAAGGTCAGAGAGAAACTGCTTCTGAGGCCTTTCAATCTCCTTCAGTTCAAAGTACTCAGCATGCCAAAGCATCATGCTTTGTGGTATCATTTTCCAAACCCGGACATAGTATAAAGGCACTTAGTTTTTTAAAATACCAATTATATCAAGTAAAAGAATACCTATGGAAACACTTCAAAAATATAAAAGTTACATGATATATTAATATAATTTTTACATATGTATTACTTGTAATCTTATTGTTTGCTTTTCATTTGCAGATTTTGTGACTGAAGGCACTGCACTGTGACCAAAAGTGCCAAATGACTTTTTTGAGTCTGTGTTAAATATATCAGGTTTCCACTGATGCCTGGAAGAGGTAGATCAGTCTGTGTGGTAACATCAAGAGAAACTTCCATTCCTTGAGAGCCCAAGGGGTAGGAAGCGAACAGATGCAATGGCAGTCTCATTAGAATGGCTGGTGATTTGCTCATTCTACTATTTGAAGGAATTCAACAATTCAAGTCGGAGCTACAAAAGTCACAATTTTGAAGCCCACACAAGAAAGTCTCATTTGAATCTTTACTCATTTGGAAAGGGAAAAGTCCCTAGGATCGCCCAGCATCCACAACAAAGCAGGGTATGCTAAATTCCCATCATTTGGGAAGAGGTTTTTTTTTGCCTGAACTATCCTCCAGATCTCCTGGGCGGGATGGCAAAAAAAAAAAAAAAAAAAAAGGTCATCAGATATGCAGGCAGATGGGCTGTGATCACCACAGGAAGCTCGAAGTATTTGGGGAAACTGAAACTGTCTAGGGATAAAGCTGGCCTGCTTTGTGTGTTTCGGGTTTCACTGATTAAAAAAAAAATCCATCTACCAGCGTGGATAAATTTTAAAATTCTGCCATGCCCAGTTTTCGAAGCCCCAAATGCGATATAGGAACAGCTGTGGTGTGAATTAGTTGTCTAAGCTTTTGGGCCGCTTCCAACTTCGCTATTGCTCATGCCCTACAGGTCAAGGAAAGAAGTGATGTAATGCACTTAGCTAGGCCACTTTAATTACAATGGAATGGAGAGGGGGAGGGGTCACAAGCGGTGACAAGTTTAGCGCATGACTTGCCCTGGGGATGCAGGAAACAAAAACATCGACGACCATTGGCTGCGTTGGCTTCCGACCCGGGTCTCTAACCGAGCTCCAGGTCTGGAACCTTGAAACACGTTTCCTGGGAAAAGGGGTGGCGCTATCCCACAGAGCGTCAACCTTAAACACAAACAGCACACACACACCCACGCAGGCTGGCGGCGTCCTCCCTGCTGGGATGGGCGTCGGGCCCAGTGCTTGGCACACGGTCCCCAGGAGCTTCCCCCGAAGGTTCCCCCGAAGCCAGCCACAGCTGCCCAGCTCGGCGCACAGAGCCCGCGGAGGTACCGAGTCCGCGGAAACCCGGACCCGCTCCAAGTGAGCCGCGTTGTCGTCATTCATTCGCAGTGTCCGGAGCGTCCTTCCAGCCGGGAGCCGGGCTTCGCTAGTGGCGCCAGCGGTCCCGACACGGCGCGTTAAGGCGCGGCCACTTCGCTAGCTCCAGCAGGTAGAGACGGCAGGGGCCCTGGAGCTCCGGTCGGCGCCGCAGGAGCAGCAGCGCCCCAGCCCAGCTTGGCCCTGACCGCAGGGCCGAATCCACTCGGGTGGCCCGCAGCCCTGCCCGCCGCCGAGCCGCATCCCGGGACTGAGCTATACCACTTCCTCCTCCTCCCGCTCTCTTCCTCCTCCTCTTCCTCCTCCTCCAGCTCCTCCCGCCGCCGTGGGCCGGAGCCGGGCTGCAGAGCGCCAGGCCCGGGCGTCTGCGACCGCGGGCTCTCGCGGGGCGGCGGCGCTGCGGGGAGGATGCTGCTCGCCGCGCCCGCGTCCTCGCCGTCCTCCCCGGCCTCCTCCTGGGGCTTTGTTGTGGCCCGGTCGCCGCAGGCCGCCCCCTGAAGTCGCCTGCCGCCGCCGCCGCACCTAGCGGACGGGCGGGCGGTCGGGCGCGCGTGTGCCCAGGAGTGCGCGCCTGTCGCGGTGGTGGGTGCAGGACCCGACCCACGGGCCCATTGTGCGCCCGCCCGCGGCGGCCAGGACCATGTGGGTGAACCCCGAGGAGGTGTTGCTGGCCAACGCGCTGTGGATCACCGAGAGGGCCAACCCATACTTCATCCTACAGCGGAGGAAGGGCCACGCCGGCGATGGAGGCGGCGGCGGCGGACTGGCGGGTAAGGACCCTGGCCGATCCCTGCAGGAGGGGAGCCGGGAGCGCTGCGGCGCCGCCCGCGGCCCTGGGCTGCAGGCTCCGGAGACGCCGCCCGGTCCCCTGGGGCTGGGCGACTCGCCCTGCCTCGTTGTGTGCGAGGCTTCGAAAGTCGTGCTGTTCAGGTTGGGCAGAGATGCTTCTTTTTTGACTCTGTCAGGCTTTGGGGCCCTTAGCGTACTGAGCGTTCTTTAAGTGGATGATGTTGAGGAGAATGGAAAAGAGTGAGTCTGGGGCGGAGGGAATGTATTATCCCCTATAAATTGAATGCAGCATTCCCTTCCCCTCCCCCCCTTAAAAATACTGTTTTCCAAATGGAGAAGACGGAAGGAAGAAGGTTAATTTTTACTCCACTTTTTTTACTGGCAACAGCAGGATCAGGTGTAAAATGCTCTTTTGTTTCCAGGGAAGCGATCAGTAAGGAACTGATGTGGTCATTTCCTAGATGAGTTATGACCGAAGAGAATGAATAAGGAAACAGGAATTCTTTTGTTTCACCTGATTAGAAATAAAGCAAAGCAAGCTGTCTGGTTCTAGTAGTAAAAATAATTGGCTGTATAACTGCATTTTAACTATTTTGGCTCAATCACGTCTTCCCTAAACCCCCTTCCTTCAAGGTATTATTGTAATTGTTGCTGAAGCCATATCATATCATTCAGGATAATAAGATCAGTTAGACCTATATCCAAAGTAGTGCCATATTCGAAATAATCTTGAACTCATACCATACTAGAGAAATTGGACCTTCTCCCTCTTTGCGTTATTTAGAACGAACAGAACCGGAATACTTTGTACAGTGAAAAAGTTAGTAGAAGAAATAGTAGAAGTTTCACTAGGAAGGAGACTGCAAAAAAGAGATGAACTTTGACCTCCTCAGAGTTGAGCATTTATCAACCTCATATATCACCTGGGGTTTGCACACTAGGTAAATTGTTGCTTTCAAATGCTGTGCTATGAAATAAAGATTCTTGATATATGTATTTACTTATATTTATAAACTAATTTTCTCAAGATTAAAATTCAAGTGTCATGTGGTACAATATATACTGGGATGTTTGAAGGATCTTGCTTCTACCAGAAAAGATAAATGTGCAGAGCTCCAGGCCCCATTCTGGAAATACTGACTAGTGATCTGATACCAGGATTTTCCAGTTCACTTTGTAGAAGTTATCTAACTCTAAATGTTAATGTGTAATTTACAGGTCTAATATTGGAGTCAGCCTACATTGTCCTTTTTTTTTTGAAACAGAGTCTTGCTCTGTTGCCCACCAGGCTGGAGTGCAGTGGTGCGATCTTGGCTCACTGCAACCTCCTCCTCCCAGGTTCAAGCGATTCTCCTGCCTCAGCCCCCTGAGTAGCTGGGACTACAGGCATGAACCACCATGCCCGGCTAATTTTTTTTGTATTTTTAATAGAGACGAGGTTTCACCATGTTGACCAGGCTGGTCTTGAACTCGTGATCTCAAATTAATTTGCCCACCTTGGCCTCCTGAAGTGCTGGGATTACAGGCGTGAGCCACCTCGCCAGGCCCACATAGTCCTTTAAGCCTAGGACAACAACATAGAGTAGATAATTTACTGTAGTAAAAAAGAACGTTTCCTTCTGCAGTTAACCCTCCTACACCTTGTAAACATTAAGCATTCATTTACCTGTATCATTTGCAATAGGATGTGAAAAATTCAGGGATTCAGAGCCTTCTTTTTCTGCTTAACATTTGTATTGTGTTCTTACTGGTTTTTAGAGCTATAACTGACTACAGTCCACTTGAAATCTCATCTTGTCATCAATGACTTATTTCACATAGGTAAAATTACATCTTGTAAATTGAGAAATCACAGCAATTACACTTATTAATGGAATCATTGAAATCATTGTCATGGAAAGATTAGCACAGAAAGCTGTAAAAAACAATGAGTCAAAGTTGAGGACACTTAACATTTTTTAAAAATTAAGATATTCTGGGTTCCTGATTCTAAGCAATATGTATAGGCATTGATGCAATGAAGTCTTTCTTCTATTGTAGATGCATTTGATTGATTTATTTAACTCCCTTTGACAGATTTCATACATATACATAAAATTACAGACATCAGATGCAAAGTGCAGTGATCTAGTACAAAGTGAACACTTGGCAACCAACACCAGGATTAAAAAAAATAGAACACTGCTATTGTGCCAAAAGCCCCCTTGTGATTCTCAGCCAATCATTGTCACCTCCCCCAAAGATAAAAACTGTCCTCATGGTTTTTTTTGTAAATACTTCCTTGATTTTCTTTATAGTTTTTCCAAAGAACATATCCCTGAACTCTATATTTTGGTTTTGCCTTTTTTTTTTTTTTGGCAAGAAATGAAATGGAATTATAGAGTATGTATTCATTTGTGTCTGGATTCTTTTGCTCAGCCTTGTGCATGTGATATTCATTTTGTTGCTGGTGGTTGTAATTCATTCATTTTTCTGTTCTGTGTAGAAAACTATGATATGAGTATACCACAATTTATTTATGTGTTTATCAACTGTATTGTTGGTGGACCATTGGATGGTCCATTTGGGGGCATTATGGATCATGTGGCTGTGGTCATTTTGGGACATGTTTCTTCGTGCCTGTGGGCATACATTTCTATTTGCTCTATAAACAGGAGAGGAATTGCTAGCTTATTATGTATTATCAACTTCAGCAGATGATACCAAACAGTTTTCCAGAGTAGTTGTACCAATATAATCCCACCAGCAGCATATGGAAGTTTCCCTTGTTCCATCACATATCCTTGTCAACACTGTCAGTCTTTGTAATTTTAGCCATTGTTGTGGTTTTGGAGTAATGTCACATCGCAGGGTTAATTTGCTTTTTCCTGACTGATGAAGTTGAGCATTTTTCCATATGTTTATTTGCCATTTGGAATATTTTGAGATACGATTGTTCAAGTCTCTTGTCCATTTTTCAACTGGATTGTCTTTTTTCTTACTAACTTGTAGAAATTTAAAAAATATCTTCTGGGTATGAGCCCACTGTTACATGTGTGGCAAAATCTTCATTTGTTCCTTACCTATTTACTCTGTAAAGGATGAACAGAGATTCTTAATTTTTAAAATTCCTTAAGTCCTTTTTAGATACCATTTCCTTTTAGATACCATTTCCTTTATGGTTAATATTTTATTGTGTTCTGTTCAATAAGTCTTTTCCTGCTCTGTGGTTATAAAGACATTCTTCTATATTCTAGAAATGTAACAGTTTTAACCCCCACCTTAACATGTATAGATCACTGGGAATTAATTTTTGCATATTGTGTGAAGTAGGGGTTAGGTATTGTATTTTAAATTTTTTGTGGACATTCATTTGCCCCAGCGTGATTTATTGGGAAGGCTATTCTGTCTTCACTGTTCCGTAGAGCTATGTTTGTCATAAATCAAGTACCCATATATGTGGGTCTGTTTTGGGTTTTCTAGTCTATTTCTTTTGTTTATTAGTATATTCTTGCACCAACACCACACTGTAGTTTTAATTTTCTTTTAGATTCAGGGGTTACATGCACAGTTACATGGGTAATTGTGTACTGTACTTTTATAGTAAGAGTTTATATGCAGTAAAGTTCTATTACCTTGTTCTTTGTTCTCTACAGGTTTCTTGACTATTCTTTGAGTACAATACAGATGCTTCTCTACTTACAGTGGAGTTATGTTTCAGTAAGTTGAAAATATTGATGCATTTTTTTAACTTAAAATATCCTCAATTTACAGTGAGTTTATCCAGATGTGACCTTATTGTAAGTCAAGGAGCAAACCGAATTTGTATAGTTTCTGCATCATTATAAACTAAAAAAAAATGTGTAAGTCGAACCATTGTAAGTTGGGACCCATCTGTATGTTAGAATCAGCTTGCAAAGTCTCACCAAAACAAAACAACAGCAGCAACAAAGATGTTAAAACTATTGAGATTTTGATTGACATTACATTGAGTCTGTAAATAAATTTGGGCAAAATTTTTACTTTTCTAGTATCAAGTCTTCCGGTCCATGAACATGGTATATTCCTTTATTTATTTAGATCTTTAAAATTTTTTCTCAGTGTTTTATAGTGTTCTTTGTAGAGGTTTTAAGCTTCATTTATTATATTTATTCCTAGGTATTTAATATTTTTTTCACTCTGTTGTATATTCTGTCTTTTTAAAATTTTATTTTCTGCTTCTTTTTTGCTGGGATGTAGAAATATAGTTGTTTTATATATTCACCTGTATCCCGAATGTAGCTAACTTAAGAAATGAATTCTAGTAATTTATCTGTAAATTCTTTTTTTTTTATTTCCTACATAGACAACCATATCACCTGCTAATATTGACAGTTTATTTCTTTTTTAATTCCTATGCTTTTAAAAATTGTCTTTGCCTTTCTTGACAGGCTAGGACCTCATATACAATTATGAATTGATGTGGCAATTGTACGTACTCTTATCCCTTCCTAGGTCTTAAAAGAAAGACTTTCAACATTTGTTCATTGTTAAGTATGGTAATTTTTGTAAAATTTTTTGTTTCTTTTTTTTTATTTTTGTTCTCCTTGCCTGTTTTCATTTTATTTTATTTTGAGGAGTTCTTATTCCTAGTTTGCCAAGAGTTTTTGATTATATTTGGATGCTGAAGTTTTAAGAAATGCTTTTCCATTTTTATCAATGTAATCATGATTTTTCCTTTATCCTGTTAGTGTGGTAACTTGTAGTAACTGATTTTCAAGTGTTTACCTGAACTTGCATTTATAAAGCAATCCTAATAATATAGCATTATAGCATTATAATTATAATATATTCCTGGTGAATTGAGCATTTTATCATTATGAAATATTCACATATATTTCCAGAATTGCTTTTGTCTCATTCTTATGGTTGGAATAGATTTATTTGGTTAGTATTTTTATGGTATCTCTTTTTCATACTTTTACTTTCAACTCTTCTCTATCCTTATGTTTTAGATATGTCT